TAAGATGTAAAACATGATAAACATCACAAGCAATCAAATAGTGACATGATATGGCCAATATCATACTGCTCCTTTTGATCTCCATCTTCAGGGCTCCATGATCATCGTTGTCACCGGCATGACACCATGATCTCCATCATCGTGTCTTCTTGAAGTTGTCTCGTCATCTATTACTTCTACTACTATGGCTAACGGTTTAGCAATAAAGTAAAGTAATTACATGATGTTATATGTTGACACGTAGGTCACAAATAAATTAAGACAACTCCTATGGCTCCTGCCGGTTGTCATACTCATCGACATGCAAGTCGTGATTCCTATTACAAGAACATGATCATCTCATACATCACATATATCATTCATCACATCCTTTGGCCATATCACATCACAAAACACTTGTTGCAAAAACAAGTTAGACGTCCTCTAATTGTTGTTGCAAGTTTTTACGTGGCTGCTATAGGATTCTAGCAAGAACGTTTCTTACCTACGCCAAAACCACAACGTGAATTGCCAATTTCTATTTACCCTTCATAAGGACCCTGTTCATCGAATCCGATCCGACTAAAGTGGGAGAGACAGACACCCGCCAGCCACCTTATGCAACTAGTGCATGTCAGTCGGTGGAACCAGTCTCACGTAAGCGTACGTGTAAGGTCGGTCCGGGCCGCTTCATCCCACAATGCCGCCGAATCAAGATAAGACTAGTAACGGCAAGATAATTGACAATATCGACGCCCACAACTACTTTGTGTTCTATTCGTGCATAGAAACTACGCATAGACCTAGCTCATGATGCCACTATTGGGGAACGTAGCAGAATTTTAAAATTTTCTACGCATCACCAAGATCAATCTATGGAGTCATCTAGCAACGAGGGAGAGAGGAGTGCATCTACATACCCTTGTAGATCACGTGCGGAAGCATTCAAGAGAACGGGGTTGATGGAGTCGTACTCGACGTGATCCAAATCACCGATGACCCAGTGCCGAACGGACGGCACCTCCGCATTCAACACACGTACGGTTGGGAAGACGTCTCCTCCTTCTTGATCCAGCAAGGGGGAAGGAGAGGTTGATGAAGATCCAGCAGCACGGCGGCGTGGTGGTGGATGCAGCAGGATCCCTGCAGGGCTTCGCCAAGCGCAAGCGGGGAGGAGAGGTGTTACGGAGGGAGAGGGAGGCGCCAAGAGCAAGGGGTGCGGCTGCCCTCCCTTCCCCATCTTTATATAGGGGCCTTGGGGGGCGCCGGCCCTAGGAGATGGATCTCCAAGGGGGCGGTGGCCAAGGGGTGGCTCCCCCCCCAAGCCAAGTGGGGGGCGCCCCCACCCCTAGGGTTTCCCAACCCTAGGCGCAGGGGAGGCCCAAGGGGGGCACACCAGCCCACTAGGGGCTGGTTTCCCTCCCAATTCAGCCCATGGGGCCCTCCGGGATAGGTGGCCCCACCCGGTGGACCCCCGGGACCCTTCCGGTGGTCCCGGTACAATACCGGCGACCCCCGAAACCTTCCCGATGGCCGAAACTGGACTTCCTATATATAAATCTTTACCTCCGGACCATTCCGGAACTCCTCGTGACGTCCGGGATCTCATACGGGACTCCGAACAACTTTCGGGTTACTACATACTAATATCTCTACAACCCTAGCGTCACCGAACCTTAAGTGTGTAGACCCGACGGGTTCGGGAGACATGCAGACATGACCGAGGCGCCTCTCCGGTCAATAACCAACAGTGGGATCTGGATACCCATGTTGGCTCACACATGCTCCATGATGATCTCATTGGATGAACCACGATGTCGAGGATTCAATCAATCCGTATACAATTCCCTTTGTCAATCGGTACGTTACTTGCCCGAGACTCGATCGTCGGTATCCCAATACCTCATTCAATCTCATTACTGGCAAGTCACTTTACTCGTGCCGTAATGCATGATCCCGTGATCAACCACTTGGTCACATTGAGCTCATTATGATGATGCATTACCGAGTGGGCCCAGAGATACCTCTCCGTCATACGGAGTGACAAATCCTAGTCTCGATTCATGCCAACCCAACAGACACTTTCGGAGATACCTGTAGTGTACCTTTATAGTCACCCAGTTACGTTGTGACGTTTGGCACACCCAAGGCACTCCTACGGTATCCGGGAGTTGCACAATCTCATGGTCTAAGGAAATGATACTTGACATTCGGAAAAGCTACAGGAAACGAACTACACGATCTTTGAGCTATGCTTAGGATTGGGTCTTGTCCATCACAGCATTCTCCTAATGATGTGATCCCGTTATCAATGACATCCAATGTCCATAGTCAGGAAACCATGACTATATTTTGATCAACGAGCTAGTCAACTAGAGGCTCACTAGGGACGTGTTGTGGTCTATGTATTCACACATGTATTGCGATTTCCAGATAACACAATTATAGCATAAACAATAGACAATTATCATGAACAAAGAAATATAATAATAACCATTTTATTATTGCCTCTAGGGCATATTTCCAACATTGCCCCGCTTGTTGATGATCTCAACCAAGGCATCATACTCCTCGTCGAGCCCATTAACGATGAAGGAGTTGAACTCGGAGTCGGTGAGTGGTTGTCCAATGGACGCCAACGTGTCAGCAAGAGCCTTAACCTTGTTGTAGAACTCCGTAGCAGTGGAGTCGAGCTTCTCACACTCGCCAAGCTCACGGCGAAGTGCGCTGACACGAGCCTGCGACTGCGCCGCGAACGAGCGCTCGAGGATAGTCCATGCCTCATGAGACGTCTTGGCAAAGACGATAAGCCCGGCAACAGCCGGTGTGAGCGACCCCTGGATGGAGGAGAGGTTCGCCTAATCCTGCCCTGTCCAAACACGGCGTGCCGGATTGTAGACCGGGCCGTGCACGCTGTCCACCAACACGGGGGGCAAGGAAGAGAGTCATCGATGTAGCCAAGCAGGTAATGAATCCCAAGGAGCGGAAGGACCTACGCGCGCCAGAAGATATAATTGTTAGACGACAACTTGATGGTGATGAGGTTGCCGAAGTGAAACGGCGGTGGCGGCAGCGAGCCCGTGGAGTAAGCTGCCGGAGGCATATACGCCATAGGGGCAGACAGCGCCAGCGTGGAGCAGCCAATGGCGCGGACGCCACGAGGGCAGGGCCTGATGCAGAGAGGCCGGCCATTCAGGCCGACGCGGGCTCCTGCAGCACGAGGGGCGGGACGGTAGCGGCGATGGAGTCGGGCGATGAGGCACCCGACATGTGGATCGTCAGCGCATGCCCGACGACGAGGAGGCTGAGGGTTGGTTGGAGAAGAAGGAGCCGACGCTCCTCGTCCCGATCGGGAACGACTGCACCGCGGCGGAGTCAAGCGGGTGGGAGAGGAGGGCCGCGAGGGAGGCTGGCAGATAGCCGGCAGTGGAGGAGCCAGAGGCGGCGGCGCGATCGGCAAGGGTGGCGGCGGCGGCGGTGTCGGCGCTGGTTAGGGTTTTAGGCGGAAGCGTTTTGACCTAGTCTGATACCATGTAAGACAATAAATTTGGGGGAACCGGCACAACCCTCTAGAAGTGGCTTATCACATATATATAATGAGTGAGGTACAATGTTACAACATATGTACACATATACACAAGCTATACAGTCTAACAACATTTAGCTTAAATTATGTGCCTAACATTTTGAACAATTGTTTTGGGAGTTGGATTAGAAGCTTTTCTAAGGATAATAAAAAAAGCGTGTACTTGTTGGTTCGGCTGCTGTTTTCTGGAATCTTTGGAAGTGCAGAAACAATATTATATTTGAAAACAAAATCTATACCGACCCATTGATTCTGATTAAGCTGATTTGCTACTGGATCGTGGGCTGGTCGATATTGCAGAAGGAGGAGCAAGAAGAGGTGTTGATGCTAGGGGCAAAACTTCTCAAGCATGTAGCAAGTGAGATATACAAGGCGTCGTATGGATGGAGATATAGTGTCTGCAGGCTTGGATCCTGAAGATCGAAGATGATGCTTTGTCTGCGTTCTCGCTGGATGCTGTTCGTAGTGTTTGTTTGACTTCTAGTTTCACCCTCATCTTTTGGCGATGTATATAAACTTTGCAGTCACTGGAACCTGCTTAATCCTCGCGCATCGTCGTTGCCCTTTGGCTTTGCCGGGGTTAGTCTAGCTTTTGGTTGGTCTTGGTCTTGGGCTATCTGATGTAATGGATGTTAATTGTCGGATGCTGCTGTTTTCTTTTATGCTTTAGTTTGTTATTAGGAGCACCATATGGTTTCTTTAACGGAAATCGGAGGGGAGGCCCTTCTTATGCTAATTTTTTTTATGAGTTTGAATAAAATTACAGAAGAAAACCCTACTACCATAAGCCATGTGACGACCGAAAAATAAGTACTCACCTTAAAAAAATGTACTTCAGAATGAATCTAAATAACACCAGGCAATGGTTGGCTGAGACTCAGATATTTCTCCGTCGACTGAGAATTAGCAAAAATTATGACCAAACCTTAGAATTTATTATTCCATATAGAAATTTAACAGCATTTAGCTAGTACACCGGTGCACTTTGGGCACTATTTATTCGACACGACCGAGTGCTAGCACGTATACGTACGTACCCCTCGATCCACAAACACCTGCTGGTACACGACTTACTACACCACACTCTGTTTACCAGTGGCTTGTTGTTTTTTCTTTACCTATAGGATGGCCGTCCGTCCGTCATTTAGGGCTTCTGCTTGCGCATGCCAGGATAGTAACCGCCACCGCCGCCGGTGCTGTTGCCGCCGGGCGGCATGTAGCCGCCACCGCCCATGCTGCTATTGCCGCTCATGGCCGGTGCGAACTTGGCCTGGATCCAGTCGACGGTGTCCTTCTCTGTCATGAAGGCCTTGGCGAGGATGAGGTCGCTGATGGGCGGCGTGGACCCGAAGACGGCGTTGGCGATGGTGATCACGCCGGCGTCCTGGCTGCTGAGCGCGGCAATGGCCACGGCGGGTACCTTGCCGTTGTTCACCTGGAAGTGGATGAGCCCCTGCGGGAACACGAACACGTCGCCCTCCACCAGCTGCTTGGTGAAGAGCAGGTTCTTCCCGTCCGCCTGGTTGGAAGTGACGAACCCCACCAGCAGCTGCCCCATGATCACGGTGAGGATCTCGGAGCCGCGAGGGTGCGTGTGGGGTGGGTTCTGCCCGCCGTTGGGCCCGAAGTCGATGCGCGCCAATGAGATGCCCAGCGTGTTCAGCCCCGCCAGCTGCTTCACCGTCACCGGTGTCACCGCTGAGCCCTGAGCGTTCAACTTGCCCGGCTTGTTAAGCCCGGGCAAGAAGAAGTCGTTCGCCGTCACCATCTTCATGTTCTTGCACACGAACCCATTCACAATCACTGCATGTATACACAGTTGCACATCCAAAGTTAAATCTTACCATGTTGCAGCAATTTCCAAGTGCCAAAGGTTGAATATAGTTATTCTAAGTTGATCAAGTTCTACATAAAATTTTAAAATATGTTTACTATCTAATAATGGATGTTATTGCTTCGACTAACCTAAGTGATCGAAACATGATGTCCTGAACAATGAAACAGTTCACTTGATGTGCAAGTATGCATTTATAGTTTGGCCACTTTTCTTATATTTAATATTGTTTTTAGAGAATATCTTCAATATTGTTAATGTGTAAGAAAGCTAGAAAAGAGCATGTACTTTTACATTGCTATCTGAGGAGTAGTATATGTCAAATCAAACAAATAACAGGAAACACAATACTAGTTTTTTATGCCTGCATATATCGACCATGTTGCATGAAAGAAATTAATCATGTAGCTTCCGTTCCAAAAAGATTTTATTGGATTCATCGTAAATATGTTATTGTACTATTCATATATTTCATGTTGTAGATATTATATTTCCTATATATATACTTGGTCAAATATAGAAAATTTTGACAAAGAAAAAGCTAGAACTTTAAGTAAGTTGAAAAAGAGGGAGCAAATCTTCTTCTTTGCAAAAAATATACCAGGGTTCATTAGATCAGCAACGCAGAAGTCCTGGAGCTGGCTCGGGTCAGTAGCCAGAACACGAGGCGCCGGAGAACAGACCACGAGTACCACCACAGCAAGCAGTGCAGCCAAGGCACAGGAAGCCGCCATGGTTTTTCTTTCCTAGCTTCACTTGCAAGACCTAACAATGTCTGTCAGGGTAAGCTAGCCAGTGTTTGAGCTTGGTAATTGTGGATTGCAAGCACGTATCGGGGTGCCAATTTATACAGGCATAAAGGTGGCCGGGGAGTAGTGGGCTAGCTGCATGCTCCAGCAACATGGTACACTAGCAACAGCTATAATCGATCACTAATATCACCGTGTAGTTTGACTAGGCATCCACGATACTCCTACTAACATTGCTAGCTTACGTATGATCGGCTGATTTTTCCTCACAGCCCCACTAACTGTTTGTTTATACGGAATAACCACGTGCCTAAATATCCACCGTGGAAACTAATGCATACACCATTTTTGGGTGGAAGAACTTGACAAGGATAATGGCTCTTTCTTCTTCTTCTTCTTTTTATTCGCAACATGCATCGATCGATCCACTAATAACTTGCAGAAGCTGGAGTTCCAGGACGGTACGTATGATAGTGGGGAGGGAATGCCTTGAGGTCGTGGTGATGGACTTCTTTGGTAGTAGATGCTGATTCTAATTAGATCGCCCAGACTATTTGGATGACGATGTTGGCCGTGGTCCTTTTGAATTTGATTTCCTTCATCAAACAATGTGGTAGTCCAATATTATATACTCTGTATATCTTCTAGATGCAGATGCCGGGTGATCGGGTGAGCAAAAAAAATGTGGAATGTTTTTATGCTTTACAACTATTTTTAGACGAATACCAAAGCACCGGTTTTTTCGTAAAAAAAGATTAATCAGGCCCTCTGCATCGATTGATGCAAACAGCTTTATATTGATTGCAAAGTATCCGTTCTTACAGAATTGGAAGAACAGAAAGTTCAAAAGCACAATATATTACTACCGCAACAAAATTACATGTAGCATTATTAATCGTATTGTTAGGTCGTCACTCACACTAATTGAATATAACTCGTGGTACCATCTCCAACTGATTGTACCCAAAGAGCAACGAATACTTTGCTACTAGTTGTTGGCGCACTTGCAAGTAACTAGACGGTCTTGATTCTACATTGATCCCCTTTCTTTGGTTTTGGACAATTTGGATGACGTATGATGTTGGTTGTCCTTTTGAGTTCCTTCATCAAAGACTTTGTGTATCTTCTAGATGAGGGCAATACAACTTGGAAAGTGTTTCTATGCTTTACGACTATTTTTGGGCGAATCCCAAAGCATTTTTTTTCTATGCATTCTAGGTTTTTTTTTCATAGTGATGCATTGTTTTCTAGCATCCGTAGCACTTTTCTTGGGAAATACACTCAAAGAGCATCTTAGGTCTGATAATTGTCAAGGAAAACAGACAGTACAACGTAAAGAGAACTGGACGTAGTCATGTAGAACGACCATTAAAAAGGTAAATACTAGCCTTCTTTTCTTCCGGTTGATTGCCACGTTAGAACATGTAATCTTTTTTCATTCTTGTTCGCTTATCTAGCTTTTATTTTGTTTTTAGAATTCGCTCCAAAATAAAATACGACAGACATTGTTAGGTCTCGCAATGTGACGTTACCCCGATACAGAGGCCGGAAACAAAAATTCCGTTTTAAGAAATAATACACCCACTAAGGAACTAACATTGCATATGTTTTCTATAAGCTTTATACTTCATGCACGTGACGTTGGGCACGATCGGCTGTACGACCAATGTGCCAACAAGTGACACTTTTTTACTGAAATTTTCCGTTCCCGTGTACAGATATGGAGCTATCACTAACGGAAAATAGGTCAAGGGCCATTTCGCAGTGCTTATCCTTGCTCCATCGTGCATAAGATTTTGACCTTTTCGTTCCTTCAGTTCTCCAAAGGTGAGTGTGGCGGCTGTCACGCTGTGTGCAGCGAGCGCGGGTGTCACGTTCCAGCAAAAATCTGTTGGATATGGAACTCCCAATCCCAACAACCCCCTCCACAATATCATGCATGCACCCGGCCGGCCTCGTGTGTTTTTGTGAGATTTTTCTCTTCATGCATGCAGCCTGGTACACGTATCGACCACTCGAGGTCTCAATACTCATGCGTGTTCTACAACGAGGTTTGTGTTGTGTATTACAGTAAGGAAAAACGGAGGTTTGGTCAGCTACTGTCAATTTGTTTCAGGCAGTGATGGACCCGGGACTTGAACTTAACCAGAAGGAACATTTAAAGTCTAAAATTTTGAAGGTTTAAAAGCTCTAAGAAATTCAACTACAAAAACATGAAAAAACATAAAAAGGTCTACGGAGAATAGGAGCGGCATAGTCTTCAATTTGCCTTCGGAGACGGCATCAGCATTGACATGCTAGATTAGATACTTCACCAACACAATCTGGTGGAATTACCTGCAAAATTGAGTGCCTTCTTCTAATTTCTGTACTATACACTTTAAATCCAAACATGGTGAAAAGCACATTCAAATGGAGTTTCGGTCAAGCCCTGGTAGCCGCCGCCTCCTCCTTTAAAATAAATCTAGGGTTTGTGCCTCTCGCCGGCGCCACTGCAGGTCCGCCTCGTCTCCAGTGGCCTTAGCGCTATGGGGGCACGGTGTATCTTGGCAAGGGCTAGGGGGAGGGCTTCGTTGTTCGTAGTTCCTTCGAGTTTTGTTAGGGTTTGTGTCCTATTTAGAGACAGTGACGGCTACTTGAACATGGAATAAATGTCTCACTGCCTAGCCCCCATTCCGGTGATGTGTCTAGCATCGTTGACGGGCGTGTGAAGGTGTGTCTCCGACGATCTATCCTCGGTGGATTTGCTCGGATCTGGTTGTTGTTCGTCTATGTTCGTGTGTCTTCGGGTTGGATCCTTTCGATCTACTTTATTCTTCATTTGTGGCGGTTGCTGTTCAGGTGCGCTGGTCCTATGGGGTCTTAGCACGACGACTTTCCGACTATCTACTACAACAAGTTGCGCCCGACTCCGACGAGGGAGGGGCGATGACGGCGGCGCACCTTTGGCTCGCTTCAGTGTTTGTAGTCGTCGCTAGGTGGCCTATGGATCTGGACGTAATTATTATTATTATTTATGTTTGTTGTACTGCCATGATTAAAAATGAATAGATCGGAAGGTTTCTCGCAAAAAAAATTCAAACATGGTGTCGCACAAAAAAAATGTAAACCAAGCAAGAGCAAGGAGGGAAGAAAGGTCTGCTACTCCTGGCCATTCTCGATGTCTCGTGCGCGTTTGCGGGATGCCGCCGCCGCCCGAAGTTGCTTCCACTTCTTCGGCCTTCTCCCCTGAATCCATCACTTGCGGGTGGTGGGCAGAGGGCAGGTTGAGCAGCGGAGGAGGGAGTGTCCAAAAGGCTGAGATTGAGAATTGAGGAATTGCTGAAGAATTTACCGATATAGCTTCAGGTCGGCGTGAAGGAGGGACGTCCAATGGGGGAGGATGTAAGGAGTTGTGGAGTGGGTGGCGAGCAATTCAACGTGGAGGAGGAGGTGTACAACGGCGGCGCTAGGCAACAATAGTATTCCCTCCGTTTTTTTAGTCTACATATAAGATTTGTTCAAAATTAAACTTTCTTAACTTTGACTAAGTTTACAGAAAAAAATATATTAAGATTCACAATATGAAATCAATATTGTTAGATGCATTATGAAATAAACTTTCCTACCATATAGCTTTAGTATTGTAGATGTTAATATTTTTTCTATAAAATTAGTCAAACTTTACAAAATTTGACTTTAACCAAATCTTATATGCAGACTAAAAAGAAATAGAGGAAGTACTATTGTAGTGGCTCGATCAATTGGTCGCCTATGTGGGAATTTCCTATTCGACGCTTATTGCGACAAGTCGTCGCCACCCACGTGCGATTGCCAGTTGCCAGTGCCCGCTCACCGGAGCGAGTTTACGCCGCCACCGATCGAGTCCAGACTACGAGCCTCCATGAGAGCAACTCCAATGGGGTGACCCAAACATACGGCGATTTTGTTCGTTTTTTGTTTGCTTGGGTCGGCCGCCCGTCCGGGTCCGCCCTCTTTTAGATTTGGGTCGGCAGTGCGTCCAAAACGCCGACCCATATGTGCCGGCTGGCCGTCAGTATTACATTGATTTGCATTCAAATATATTGTCAAATAACATAGTTTACCGAATAATAGTATAGTTTTACAAGCCGGATACAAATAAAAATGTTTCACATAGTTTTGCAAACGAATAAAAAAGATACATCTATTGGTTGCCAACATGAGCCTACATATGCTCAACCAAATCATTTTGCAGCTGCACGTGAGTTTCCCAATCACGCATGTCTTCATGAAGTTGGATGAACTGTTCAAACATTGCCGCTACTTCATGCTCAGGCACAACATTCTCACCCTGAAACTGAAAGCCTTGATTATACAGATGTTCCGGACGCTTGTCTTCTACGATCATACTGTGCATAATCACACAAACAGTCATCACCTCCCACAGTTTCTGCGTGCTCCAGGTATTAACAGGATACCGAACGATGCCCTATCGAGATAGCAAAACACGAAAGGCACGCTCTACATCCTTCCTAGGACTCTCTTGCTCTTAGGCAATTTTTTTCCTTTTCTCTTCGACAGGATTGGGTATTGTCTTGACAATAGTGGTCCACTGAGGATAGATACCATCACCCAGGTAGTATCATTTGTCATAGTTGTGTCCGTTGACAGTAAAGTTCATCGGTGGGCTGTTGCCTTCGGCAAGCCTAGCAAACACCGGCGAGCACTGAAGCACATTGATACTATTGTGTGATCCAGCCATACCAAAGAAAGAGTGCCAGATTCAGAGATCTTGAAACGCCACGGCCTCTAGTATGATAGTGCAAGTCCTGACATGTCCCTTATACTGCCCTTGCCAAGCAGAAGGACAGTTCTTCCACTCCCAGTGCATGCAGTCTATGTTGCCAGGCATCCCTGGGAAGCCCCTTCTGGTATTTATCGCCAACAAACAAGTTGTATCTTCAGCTGTCGACTCTCTCAAGTACTCAGGGCCAAACACAGCAATAACACCCTTACAGAACTTATACAGGGACTCTAGGCATGTAGACTCGCTCATATGGACGTACTCGTCAATGAGATCACCGGGCACTCCGTATGCAAGCATTCGGGTGGCGGCAGTGCATTTCTGATAAAAGGAGAAACCAATCTTGCCGACGGCATCCTCTTTGCACTCGAAATAGTCATCATAGCCGACCACTCCTTCTCTAATATGGTTGAAAACATGCCTACTCATTCGGAAACAGCGGCGGAATTTTTGATGTTTGAACAACGGGTTTGTTGTATCAAAGTAGTCCTTCCAAAGAAAGAAATGCCCACTCTCGCGGTTGCAATTCAACGCCGGAAGGTGGCCCGGAATGGAACCACGGAATAATGGGCGCTGGCTGTTTAGGTGGTGATGGACCAACACGGCGGCCAATATCTCCTCCTTGTCGTCGGACGACGAATCGTCAGAGTCGCGAAGGAAATTGTGGAAGAAGAACTCGTCGACGGAGTCCATTTCGTACCTTGGCAAACTAGCGAACAGCTTGCGGGCGTCGAAGAAGGAGACGGCCGGCGAGGGGAGTCGCGGCGCGCACGGACCAGCTAGCTGCCCTGCCGGCGTCCGACGAGCGTGCCGGTCGGATCTGACCGGGACGGTGAGGTGGCTTCTTGGTCGCGGGCGGCTGTGCGGTGGGCGAGCGACGTTGGAAAGCAGTTTGCTCCCCCGGCGGCAAAACGGCGGTGGCGGGCGACGGGGGGAATGGGCCGCAGTGCTGGGCGGATGTGGAGGCGGCGCAGTTGGCAGAGTCGCCGGCAAAAAATGGGCGGCGGCGGCGGCGACGAAGGAGGCGGGCGAGGGTTGCTGTTGGCTGGGAGGGAGAGGGGAGGCCAATGTGCCACCGACCAGCGGGCCCGGGAAAGGGAGAGGGCGAGCGCACGCGCCCGTTTCGTGTCCACACAGATGCAAATCCGTCTTAAAATGGGCCAAAAATGGGTTACCCGCGGACGAAAAGCGAACGTGTATTCGTTTAGGTCGACGTGTTGGGTCGACTTTGTCCGCGCCAACCTAAATGAATGACGGCGGACGAAATAGGTCACCTCATTGAAGTTGCTGTGGCAACTGTCGCCGCTTGATTTCAGTTGTTGTCACTGCCACTAGATTCAAATGTTTTGGTGCGCTGCCGCTGAGGACATCCATGGGGCGATCTTAGCTGTTGCTCGAGTCCAGGACTCCACGCACGTTGCTTCTCCATCTCACAAGTACTCCTAATCAGTGCAGAATCAAGACTACACTGGATCTAATATAGCCACGATTCTGAAATGCAGAGAGCTTGTTCTTGACTTTGCAAATGCTGAATACTCCCACTGTTTTCGTAAATCTAATGAGGTTGCTCATATATTAGCTAGTCACTCTTTTAGCATTAGATTTTCGTCATTTTGGGAAGCCTACATCCCGGACTTTATTTCTCAGGCTATTGTAAACTATTTGTCTCTGATATGAGGAATAAAGTCTTGAAGTTTCAAAAAAAAAAAAAAAGTACCCCTAATCAGCGCCGGCTGCTAACAAAACTGGTGCTCACGCGCATGCTCTCATGGGTCGGCCTGCAGGAAGCTTCTCACTCGCTCGTTTTTTACGGTTGGACAGGTTCAACCAGGTTGACTGTTGCCTCAAAAAGAAAGAAAAAATAATGTTGACTGGTTGACTTTCGAAATATTATTAATTCAAAAAATCATATTTTTAAAAAAAAATCATGAATTTGAAATAAGTTCATCATTTTTCAGAAAAACATCACACAATTAAAAAACTCCATGGATTTGAATTTTTTTCATGATTTTTAGAAAAAGTGTGTGAAATTTGGAAAGAATTCATGAATTTAAAAATATTAGTGAATTTGTAAAAGTTCACGAATTTCAAAATTTTCACTACTTTTATAAAAGCTCACGACTTGAAAAAGTTCAGGAATTTCAAAATATTAGTGAATTTACAAAAAGTTCACGAATTTCAAAATTTTCACTACTTTGATAAAATTTCATGACTTGAAAAAGCTTGCAAAATTGGAAAACGTTCACGAATTAAAAGAAAACATAAAGTTGAAGAAAGTTCACGAAATTTTGATTAAAAAATCACGAACTTGCAAAAAGTTTTTGAATTTGAAAATACTTTACGCATTTAAAAAAGAAAAGAAAAAACAAGTAAAAACCATGCCAGGAAAAACCGCAAGGAAAAGACCCAGAAAAACCGGCGGAAAACAGTTGTAAAAAAACCATGCACCAGGTAGCAAAATTGCCTATGAGCCACCTCTCGACTCACAGGGCGGATCTACTACAAAGTGGGTCCAGAGGGAAAAAAAGGCCCAAGAAACAATGGCTTACTCGTCCTGACCCATCTCACTTCTCAGTCGGCTAGCCCAACAAACAACGCACCCTTTTTCTTCTCAAAAAAAAAAAACAACGCACCCCTAAAAAAAAACATCGCACGCAGGCACACTCGGACTGTGGGACAGACGCACCTCGCCCCTGCTCGCTCCCCTCGGAAAAAAAACAACAACCTCGCCCCTGACCTCCGCCGCTCGGCTCGCGATCTCGCCGGCTCGCTGCGTACCTCGCCGTCTCTAGACGCCTAGGAGCCGCCCCTCCCTGCCCCGCCCGCCCGGCACCAACGCGCCACCTGGCGCCCCTGCAAGCCGGCGCCTGCCGCGCAGTCTGCTCTCCGCCGACTCCGGCACTTGGCCGGCAGCAAGCCAGCAACCCTGCCCGGCGTCCAGCCTTTAGCCCGATCTGAGGATTTGAGGCAAGTTTTCCACTGCGGCACTTCCCATTCCCCGTTTTCTGATTTAGGGTTTGCTCTTTGCTCTCTATTGCATCAATCAGGTGGAAGAGTCTAGTCTATTCCGTTAACTGAACAATCAGACTTGCTATCCAGTAAATGAACACACACATAATTTCGCTATCCAGTACATGAACACACGCACATAATTTCGCTATCCAGTACATGAGCACCTGATCATTGACATAATAATGATTTGTCTGATTGTTTGCCACTCTAACAAGTTACTCTGTCAATGCCACTCTTAACAAATTAACAATGCCACATAGTCTTCTTTGAACTTCTCAAGGTATGTATTATGTAGTCTGCTCATGCAAAATTGAGAATTTTAGTATGTCCGTAAGACCATATTGATCAATTTTTATGTGCTACTGGTAAATTAATTAGAATGTTGGCATGTCATATTCGTTGTCAATTTTTTTAGGTGGACCACCCTGTTCTGAAATCCTAGATCCGCCAGTGAGGTGAGCACCGTGCTACTGACAGGTATGTCCACATTAATTCTGTTCACCTTCTGTCCTTTTTCTTATGGGTTAGATTAGGCGATGTGTATGCTGTTGATCTTGCGATAGGGAACTAGAGATTAGCAATGAGGCTGATGGATTTGTCCGTGAATGGCTTCATGGCTTGATGCTCGCTGCCTTGCTTTTCTGTTGGTGGCTTGTGAAAATAACAAGAAGATTGCTGTTGTATTTCTCGGAGGCATAGACGCATAGCTCTGTTTAGGGGCTACTATTCGTAGCTTCCTGTGTACTGTCTTCATAAATGATGCACCATGTCCCATTTCCCGTCGCTCGTTAGAGAAGATAGTTAAGACTTAAGAATAAGATCTATCTCTAGAGCAGAGTTGGGGGGTTGAAATTTATGATACTCCCTCCGTTCACTTTTGTAAGTCGTTTCAGACAACTCAAAATAGGCTGTTTTGCACATTGTCTGAAATGTTTTCAAGGTCTTATAAAAGTGAACAGAGGGAGTAAAAGATTTTGGGGGGTTGGAATCTTTGTGATTTTCTCCATATGTAATGTTTGGTTCATAGTATTGAAGTTTATGATTTTATCTTCTTCTAGAAATCATTTTTACTAAATTTTATAGAAAAAAAATCCATTGAGTGAAACATCTAAATCCATATGTAATGTTTTAGGAACCAGACGGGTCAGAAAACCACCAGTGAGTCAGCGATCCACCCTACTGGTGTTCTGCTCTCACGGTGCTTTACCCCCGCCCGACCCATGGCGCCGCCACTCGTCGCCATCGTCCGGCTTGCCACTGCCTCCCGTGTCTTGGTCCTTACTCTCTCTCTGCTCGCTCGCCTTCTCTTCCGCCCATACGACACCTCCGCCTCCCTTCACCCGCCTTGTCTCTCCTCCCCCTCCTTCCCCCCTTCCGCCTCCTCTTCTAATTCCACTGCTACCGCCACCGCCATCTCGTCCCTAGCTGTATGGGACGGTGTCCACTTCGCTCGCTCTGCTGAGTGCGGCTACGAGTATGAGCAGTCATTCGCCTTCCTCCCCCTGCTCCCAGCCTCAATCGCTCTACTCTCCCGGTCCCGTAAGTTACTCGCCTCTACCTCAACTTCTCACCTTCTCATCGTTGAGGTGTGTGCTTGATCTGGTCTGGTGTTGGGTCATGGCCCCATTCTCCTTCTGCAGTGTTCGCGCCGCTGGTGCCGATGCTGGGGTACAGGGCCGTGCTTGTGATCTCCGGGCATGTTCTGAACAATGTGGCATTTGTTGGCGCCGCGGCCTATTTCTACAGGTGACTGACGTTCTTCAGCTACACACATGTGGTGTATTTATTTCAGTGTAGTTAGGTTTCTATGTTTAAGTATTTTTAGCGTTTAAGTGTTGTTTTAGGTTTTTGGATCAGGTCAACAGATATTCATTCTATCGGAGTCATGCTTGTGCGCATAATGGTCTACTAATGTTGGTGTGTTTAATCATCTTGATGCTTGATGTTTCAGACAGTCTTGGTATCCATCATAGTTTAATACTCCCTCTGGTCCATATTAATTGTCGCAGCTTTAGTACAACTTTAGTACAAAGTTGTACTAAAGCTGCGACAATTAATTTGGATTGGAGGGAGTAATAGAGTTTGAGTAAATTGCAATAAAAAAATCTACCCTCAATTTTTAGTTGTAGTACATTCATTTCGAGTGCAGGACTGCCCATTTCTCGTTTATAAATATTGCCAGTTGCACAACCACCGATGATTTTTCTCATGTCTAATAAGATGTAGAGTCGCTTTGCCTAGTATTTATAATACGACTATTTGTTCTAATGTGAAAAAAGTGACCCTTTATTGTACTTCGTGCAGATTATCTGTGCTGATCTTGAAGGACTCAGGAGCGGCTTACCGTGCATCTGTTCTTTTTTGCTTCAATCCAGCTTCTGTGTTCTACTCATCACTGTAAACTTCTTTGCCTTTATGCCATGACGAATCATGTACTAGCTATGACTGAACAGCAGCATGTTTCTGTTTTTTGTTTTTGTTTTGGCAGATATTCAGAAAGTCTTTATGCCCTTTTTTCGCTCGGAGGGCTCTTCTACCTGTTTTCCGGTGCTCGTACCGTTGCAATGATAATGCTCGCTCTATCTGGTTCAGCTAGGTCAAATGGAGCACTTAATGCTGGCTATATCTGTTTTGAGGCTTTGCTACAAGCATATGATGCTGCTATCCAGAAGAAAAGGCCCATGGTAAGCTTTCTTTGCCGGTTGCACTTCATGTTGTTGTGCACGGTGCTTACTATACTAGCTAACATGAAGAGGCCATATGGCTGAAGAGGCATCCAAAACTCGTGCGCATCCCGATATCCCATACAATTTTTTCACCAGGAAGTTTGACTTTTTTTTCTCAAAAAGTCAAATGTAGTGATGATGTGAAATTTTGTGTGCATGTGAAAATAAAATCCCATGCGCGCTATAGAGTAGGACAAGTACTCATACGAGAGTACAATCTTCTTATTTTTTGTAGATGCCCGTATGATCAAAATTGTCCACAAAATTTTAGATGTACACATACTTTCACATGTTTAACCAATGTGATGTTTTTGTTTAATATCTTCTACATGACCTTATATGGTACTTCAACCTATGCTGATGTTTTCTTGGACTACATGAGTTAGTGTTGAGGGAATTATGCATGGTTTATAAGGCGGTAAACGACCTAAAGCGAGCACCACCCACTCTGACGCTTAAGCGCCTAAAGCGGACATATTTCTAAGGCACTCCCAGGACGCCTTATCACTTAAGCGTCTGAAGCAGGACGCTTTATAAATAATGGAATTATGGGTACCTAACGGCATTACCTTTTTCTTTGGCCCAAGTGGGCAGTGCAGGCCCTTGTCACTGGATTTTTGCGCCCCACTTTTGTATTCCTACCATTCTTTGCCTTTCAAGCATATGGATATTTGAACATATGCGTACACGGGGACACGGATGAGCTGAGGCCATGGTGCAAAGCAAAACTGCCCCTTTTGTATAGTTTTATTCAGAGTCACTACTGGTAATTGTTTCATCTCATCTTTACCAACACCAGCTCAACAATTTATAATTTTCCCTTGAATTCTGTATTTTACCTTGGGATAGTGTTCTATTTTTCTTTGTCACAACTCATATATCAATATGATTGTATGCTTAACAAGAGTTCTTGTGAGTTACAAGGAGCTACCATTTCTCTTATACAGCCATGATAATTACATATTCATCTTTTGTGGAGAGTGATATGTCTGTTCTTTCGTCCTTCTGTTCTGTTGCACCAATAGTGTATGCTGTCAAGTCACAAGGATGCCATGCTTGGTAATATGGGATCTCCATGCTTAGGCTGTATGCTCCACGTATAGAAAATAGGCAAACTCCATTCTCATTTATGTCCACCAGAATTTGAAGTACTTTTGTTGTTTTGACTGGTTAAAGAATGTCCATGTATATGCATTTCTCCTTACAATTTTACATAGACTCTTGTACTAAGGGCATCTACAATGTGATGCTGCCAAATTTGCGACGTCGTCAGAATTTTGGCACTGGTATCAAATAGACTAGCTATCCACAGCGTTAGCTGGTTCCCAATTTCTGTATAGTGGGGATCACTACAGAATAGAATGGAATAAAAACACTATCACATCTCTCTTTACCCACAACATTTGGGCCTGTTCACAAAGGTTCATGTATTATTTTATTAGCTGAGGTTGTTTGGCATTGGAGCATGAAGGAGCATCGATGCCCTCTTTTTTTAATTTGGCAACACCCTCCATAATGGTTCTCACCGGTGTCAAAAGCCATTTTAATATTTGGCACTATCAATTTGGCATACATTATGGATGCCTTTTAATATTTGGCACTATCAATTTGGCATACATTATGGATGCCCTAAGCTTGCTTTTTGAGTACCATCTTCTGAAGACTTATGCTCCCATTATTCACGAGCTTTATGTTATTTTACATCTTTCTTTTCAGGGGAGTTGGTTTCTTGAGATACTTTCAAGTCAAGCAGCTGCCCAACTTTCTTTTGGCTTCACCAGTACTATCTCTTGCAGTTTATTCTATAGTTCACTACACAAAATTGCTTCACCAACTCTTCCAATCAACTAGCATACACGAGCAGATAATTGCCATTGTTGACGGGAGGTTAGTTGAAGCATATGAAAGCTCAGATGTTGCCACAGTGTTGAAGAGTGAAATTTCTACCGGACCACATAACAAAAAGCAAGGTACTATTACATTCTCAACTGTCAACATTTTGTCTCTATTTTGAAAGATCATTGGAAAATGATATTCCTCAACTTTCTTAACACATGCCTAGGAGTTGAGAAAATTTCAACTGTCCTGAAAAATGGAGAACTGACCTCAACCTATTCAATATAGGCTACTGGAGAACTGAAGTTTGAACATAACTCTGCAATGTTTGAACAGGGAACACTGAGGTTAAGAAGAGAAAATCTGTCGCGGCCAGCGCTGCTTCAGCAGCATCTTTAGATAGCAATGTATCAAGAGGCCGAATTGTGGGAGATAACAAGGATGAGTGCCCCTTGCTAGTTCTTCCTTTCATTTTACACCTGACATTCATGACATTTACCGCCTTCTTCGTGATGCACGTCCAGGTCAGTATAATGCCCGATGAAATTTATTTGTAGGTCGCTACTCAAGTCTCATCTGTTGCTTCTTCGGTCCAGGTGTCAACGCGGTTTCTGTCTGCCAGCCCCCCGATCTACTGGGCCGCTTCGCGCATTTTGGCTCCTGCAAGGGGCGGCTCTTGCAAGAGATGGGGATACTTCGTCATCGTTTACTTCGTTGCTTATATTCTTCTCGGCAGTTTGCTCTTCCCCAACTTCTACCCATTCACATGAGAACAGCTGCTGTCATGCACACACGAATTGTATGCGCTAGATTAGCCTGGAGGTTCTCCTTGGCGGAATGTTCCTGTACAGTTGGTGTATCTCTTTCCTTCTGTTCCCTAAAACCACGGCCATAGAATTGAGGAGTGCATTCTGGAGGTTTTTCTTTCTGGGAGATCTGAATCATGTGCTCCATTTCCTTACCTAGGTTGCACTAGATCACATGCCATGTTATGTTGACACCTTGATATGAAAATGATAATAATGATAATAGTAATAATATTTATGATGATGATGATGTTGATGGTAATAATAACAATAATAGTAATAATATCTGCATAAATGGGAATCCTATAGTGATTCGGAATGACAAAAATATATATACCGTTCTTCACCGGTTGCCTGGGAGTGCATACCGAAGAGTGCAGACAATTTCTCTGGATTCCTTGTGTCAAACTGCGTCCTCAGCGTTTTGACACCAAAATTAGATTAACGCTGCAGCAGCTGGGTCGATTCAGTACGGATAGAATTTGTGAGGTCAGTGATGCGAAATGGGTTACCAGTTGGTTGCTGGTGGCGCACATCCTCAAGTGCAATTATGAAATGGAAAATGGCGAGGACTCGGCTCTTACCATGGAAACCAGCAATAAAAAACACTAAGAACCGAGGCATCGTTATCTCGCTCCTCACCACTGGCCACCTGAGCAACCCATAGGGGAAGTGGATCCATGAGCTTGCTGGTGAAGTTTTGAGGGGATAAGTGGCCTAGCAGCCGTAGTCGCAAGAGGGAAAGAGAAAACCTAATCAGAGGATGTTTGAGGCTTGTCTTTAGGAACAGAAACCCTTAACCAAGTCAACAACGAAGTACTTCCTCCGTAAAGAAATATAAGAGTGTTTAGATCACTAAAGAGACGGAGGGAGTAGTTTACAGAGAAGATCCCAATTCATATGAAAATATGGCAAGGAAAGACTGGCGAGGAGACTACCATCAACAAAACTATGAACAACCACCATCAACGCCACATATTTTGCTACTCCCTCCGATCCAAAACAAGTGTCGTAGTCTTGAACTAAGGTTAGTTCAACCTTAGTTCAAAATTGCAACCGACCTTAGCCCAAAACTACGACACTTGTTATGGATAGGAGGGAGTAGCAGAATGAGGCGCACCTCGTGAAGAATCTCCACAAACTTTAGAACAAACCTCCTCTTCCTTGGGTTCTTGACCAATGCATACACTTTCAAAAATGACTATGCCTATGTTTTAATCTTGACCATTTAAAAGAAAAGTTTGACTTCAATCAATCTACGGGCTTGTCGGCGGAGTTCAAAAGGGATGAGTGCCCTAGCCACCGCAGTCGCAAGAGGGGGAAAGAACCCAAATCAGGAGACATTTGAGGCTCGTCTCAGGAACAGAAACCCTTAACCAAGTTAGTAATGAAGAAGGTTAGAAAGGAGATCCCAGTTCAGATGAAAATATGCCAACGAAAGACTAGCGAGGAGGCTGACCACAAGAGTATGGACAACCGCCGTCAACGCCACATAATTTGGTTCCATAGTTTTGTACACCCTTCAGAATTGTCCATGTCTTAATCTTAACTGTTTTAAAGCTTTCTTAATTCTCAAACAATTCGTATATGTGATAACGCGTTGGACGCCGAGCTAGCGGCGTGTCGGGAGGGGCTGGAGCTGGCCCTCCATCGTACGGTGCTGCCCATTTTGGCCGAGCTTGATAGCGCGGAGGCGGTGTCACTGATCAGAGCACACTCCGATGATCGATCGATACATCGCATGTTGGTTAAGGAGATTAAGAATCCGACCTCAACTGAGGATAGGGAGATTTCTTTTACTTGCTGTTGTCGGTCACAGAATAAAGTTAGCCATGAACTTGCTGCGTATGGCCGTAGCACTTCCCGTACTGCAGTATGGTTGCATTCGGGATTAGATTTTGTTGTAAACTTGGCATTGGCTGAGAAGCCTCCGTGAGTAATGAGAATCTCTTTTTCTCCCGCAAAAAAAATCTTAAACAATTCAGGAGAAGGTTCAAAACAAAATCAGGAAAGAAAAAACGACTTTATGCAAACTATGGACTTCTTTCAAAAAAAAACTATAGTGGATATGTTAAATCCAAGGTGAGTAAAAAAACCGACCACGCTGGGACTCGAACCCAGAATCTCCCGCTCCGGAGGCGAGCGCCTTATCCATTAGGCCACGCGGTCATGTCGTGCACACTTACATACTAAAGCTATACATAGATTTGTTCAGACCAGACGAGTTGGGCTTTCCCTAAGAAAGAGCCCAAGGCCCGCCATGGTCCTAGTCCTCCTGTCCGGGCACATCGCCGCCGCCCAGCGGCGCCTCCGCCTCTCTTCCCCTCAGTCCTCACCCAGTCGCCGCCGGCCACCGGACCTCCCCCAGCGCAGCCCACCTCCTTCCTTGCTACACCCACCACCACCTCCCCGATAAGCTCTCCAACCACTTCTCGAGTAGCCCAGCCCCGCCCCACCCGACTCCCAGCTCCCGGCGGCGGCATGTCAAGAGCCCTAGCGCGGCGCGCGGCGCCCCCATTCCTGAGGCTCCGCTCCACGGCAGGCGACGACGGCCACTGGATCGGCCGGCTGGACCACAAGGACTGGCTCGCCCCGAACGAGGTGCTCAAGATCTTCGCGAGCATCAGGGACGCCGCTCTGATAACCAGCGTGTTCCGGAAGGCCTGCGCCCGGCGCGACTACAAGCCCAGCGAGGCCCTCTACGGCCTGATGATCGACCGGCTCGCCGGCTCCAGGCGGTTCAGCGACGTGGAGGAGCTGCTGGCCAGGGCGAGGGCCGAGCGGTTCAGGTTCTCCGACGAGTTCTTCCACAGGCTCATCAAGATGTACGGCAATGTGGCCAACCACCCCGAGAAGGCCATGGAGACGCTCTACGCGATGCCTGAGTACGGCTGCTGGCCCTCCACCAAGACCTTCAACTACGTGCTCCACATGCTCGTCTGCAGGCGGCAGTACGAGGTTGTTCATGAGGTGTACGCCAGCGCGCCCAGGCTGGGCGTGGAGCTCGACACCTGCTGCTTCAACATCCTTATCAAGGGGCTGTGCCAGTTTGGGAGATTCAGTGAGGCCCTCTCGCTGATGGATGAGATGCCGAAGCAGGAGTGCCGGCCTAATGTGACGACCTACTCGACGCTGATGCATTTCCTCTGCCGGAACTGCCGGGTGGATGAGGCATTCGAGCTGTTTGAGAGAATGCGCAAGGAGGAAATCGACGCGGATACGGTTGTATACAATATATTGGTATCTGGTCTCTGCAGAGAGGGGAGGGTGAGCTCTGCATATGATCTGTTCAAGTCGATGTCGTCTGAGGGCTGCCACCCAAATTCAGGGACTTATCAGGTACTTCTTGATGGCCTTGTGGCCTCAAAGAAGTTTGTGGAGGCGAAGGACCTAGTTGGTATGATGAGTGCTGAAGGTCTGAGGCCTAGTTTCTCATCGTACAAGCTGCTGATTGATGGCCTCTGTAGTGTTAACTGCTTAGATGATGCACATCATGTCTTGAAGCAAATGGTGGACCAAGGTTTTGTTCCTCGGATGGGTACTTGGACAAAACTTCTTACTACATGCTTATGCTGAAATGTATGATCATGCCAGTGGGCAGTGGTTTAGTGGACCTGACAATACACTTGAGCAATGAGATTATTTTGTTGCTGGAACTAGTGGACCAACCTGCCCGCCTTTCTGCGTGGACTTGCATGTTGAAGTCGGATCTTTTTCCTTATGGGGATTATTAAGGATTTTTGGTCTCACGATGACCAAGTTCTGTTTACTGATGACTCATATACTGATGTACCTGAGAACCGAGCGCTAGCTCGGTTGGCTTGAAGCTCACAGGTGTGAGCTCGCCCACCTACGTTCGATGCACAGGGAAGGCTCATTTTCTTCCTAACTAACGGACAGTTAAAGGAGGGACTCTTCACCCTGTAGGCAACGTTTATATACGATGTACCTTGCGAGCCTATTATTGGTTTTGTCCCTGATTTCAACATCAGTGCTGGCTCCACATTCTCCAGTTTAAATGTGAAAATATTGGTAAGCTCATGACATTATGTTCTTTTGTTACAACTCAAATCCAACAATCTCTCTTTTGTATGTCTGACATGTGAAATATCTGAAGACAGTGTTCGTGCATTTGGAGAGGATCTTCACTTAATCCTTCTGATGATTCTCTCTGGACCATACTGCTATTGAAAACCAGGCAAACAGTATGGAAGATGCATGCCATGAGGTAGTTTTTCACCTTTTATACCCTTGAAGTGCAGAAAATCATGTTGTTTGTGATACAGTTATTAGTCATACATTGTTCTCAGTGAGACAGAATGTCCCTTAATAATGTTTTCTCTTTCGTTGATTGACTAATTGTTTAACTAGTCCTAATACTAATATAATTCTGTTCCTAGGTTCGTAACCATCTTCCCAACTTGTATCTTTTGGGGCCTAAGAGTAAACATTAACCCCTTTACTCAAGTTGTATCATCCCTTAGAGTAAACATTAACCTCTTTACTCAAGTTGTCGTAGATTTCGTTCCAAGATAAGAAAAAGTGAGTCCATATAGAGATGGAATCTGCAAGTTAATTTAACACAAGTGAATAGACGTGTGTTCATGATTACAAGGGAATTGGACTGATGCCTAGGGATAAAACTGCCGGCTTAGAGTAATACACATCATTGTGTACATCAAAATACAACAAATCAAGTACCTGTCTTACAGTATAGTATCCGGTGCTAAAAACACAGGGCTGGTGGACTGCAGTGAGATTCGTCTAGGATGCAGAAATATAAAAGACATAACTGCCGTCTAAACAGTACTTACTGAAGTACTGCCTGTTACATCTTTTAGTTGTAACTTGTCTTGTTACTAGCCTTGACGACAAATTTTACCGTCTTGATGCATCGAGAAAAGCAAAGCAATTTCACCGTCACCATCTGCATTATGTCACACCTGAATAAATTAGCCGTAGAGCTGTGTGGACGAAGGCAATTCTTATGTCTAGTAACTGATATTTGCGCGTCCTGCTGGCATCTACGTAGCACCTTTAGAAAACACTGAAAGGGTCACTCGATGACCTCTCCTGGTGCATCAGGAGTTGCTTGAGATGCCCAGACACGTTTCCTAAACACTATGAAAGCTGCAATTTGCAGCCTCTCAAATGTAACAAATTCAGAAGAAAGCGACCTGGTTTTCTAGCTTACCGTTCGCTAATTATTTGGGGTACTACTAGCTAGGCACTACCAATTATCAAACAGAACAACGAAGAACCATTCCAGATTAATTATCTGGGGTACTAGCTAGCCAGGCACCACCAATTATCAAATAGAACCAGAAGAATCATTCTAAAATCAGGTGTCGCCATTTTCCGGACGAACATGTGTCGAGGCCTGATTGTCAATAGGAACTAAAGAAAGAGGAATTGCTGCGCAGGCAGTATATATGCAGGCAATATTTGCAGGATGGTGGCTGTCCCCACAGGTGGCCACATGCACTTGTGATGGTGTCATTTGGACCCTAATTAATCATTCGAGATTCAGCCTGGATCCAAGGAACAGCTGACATAGGCATGCCAACTAACAACTAGCAACCATCCCTGTCGCCTTCCAACCAAACTGCTTATTGCTGTGCCGAAATGTTGTGATAGGCACACACACACTTCTTGCAGCTAGCAAACTTAGTTGGTAGCTGAATATTTCAAAGCAGACTTTGGCACAGATGTCACCCATACAGTCAATGAATCTAGGACAGTAATAAGGCCTGCATTTACAAGTTTTAGCTTAGAACTGATATAAGAAGTGGGGTTTAAATAAGAAATTTCCCTCATGGCACTCTTTGTTTTTTTACATTGTGACATGCTCTTTATCATCCGAGCAAGGCTTGTCCCAATAATTCAAAAGCATACGGACTTTGAGTTTATTTCAAGTTTTCCAAACTTCTCAGTAAAACTGACTGTTTTAAACTTCCAAACCACGCGACGGGCTGTCAAACTAGACTTTTTAAATTTCCTCACACGGCCATCTCTCTAACACCATGGGGCACCGGTGAGCCTCAAACCCTAACCTATCATTGCCCCTGAAGACCATCATTTCAAACAATGTGGAGGAACTCGAGAAGGCGGCCAAACTTAATGTTGATCCAACGGTGAGTAAATCGACCGAGAGATATTGAATTCTTGGGCAATTGTGAAATTTCAAATCTGTTTTACTAAAGCTAATGTAATCAATATTGCTAAGAAAATACGGCCAGTGTTAGATACCCCCTCCGTTCCTAAATACAAGTCCTTTTAGAGATTACAATATGGACTACATATGGAGCAAAATAAGTGAACCTGTATACATTCATGTGTAGTTTGTATTAGAATCTCTAAAAAGACTTATATTAGGCACAGAGGAAGTACATCGGTATCTTAGACAAATCTAAGACAAGTAATTTGGGACGGATGGAGTACTACGAAGAAGGATTCCGCTTCAGCTCATCTCCTTTTAACAATCATTTACCTCTTCGTTGAAAAGGGCATGATAATCTTTCAAATATGGTGGAAACTCGTATTGTATGACAGCGTGTCTATATACGTACATTGTGTGTACCGATGTATACACGCCTTATTAATTAGTAGTGTGTCAGCATCGGCGGAACGTACGTCCTGGAGGACGAATTTATCTTTTTCAAAATTGAATTAGGTATACTGAAGCAAGACACCTATTAAGAACGATAATCAAAAAAGGGATATTCCAAATGCCCTTTGTTAATCAGATATTTTTTTTAGAATACCAATGTTTTGCACGGGAGCCATACGCAGCCAAGTTCGCGGAGAAAAAAATACTCCGAATTTGCAGAAAACATGTCAGCACTCCACAAGGACAGAATGCTAACATACTCCATTTTGATGCCTGGTCCTGCTCCCTAGGTCGATCTCCTACTCATCCGCCAAACCCTAAACTACTCACTACTCGCTACAAAAACAACCATAAGCAAAGAAGAAGCAATTAACACCAAGTCAATTGGGTGCCAAGAACACAAGCAACCACACGCCACCCCCCTCCCTCTGGTAGTACAGTGCCCGTGCATATGTTTGCGCAGTGAGAGATCAATTGATTTGTTCTTGCGATCGAGCTTTCATGCGTGAAAGCCATGAACTACCATGAGAAGGAGGGTCAAGAGCTCGCCGTCGTCGCCACGAGCGACGGCTTGGACTGGCTCGAGGACTCCGTCTCCTTGCTCGCCGGGGACATCGACCTCGGCGGCAGCTACGGCTGGTGGTGTGACATCTTGCCGGCGCAGAAAGATGACATTGGGAGCGTCGTCGCGCAGACGCTGTCGCCTCCGGCGCCGCCCGCGACAAGCTCGCCCCTGGCCCACCCCTCGCCAAGCATTGCGTCGCCCGCGCCGTCGGAGCCGTCGCCCAAGAAGCGCAAGTCTCCGGCGCGCGTGGTGTCCGGCTCCGGCCATAGCAGCAGCAGCAACCAGCGTCGCCGAACGGAGCAGGACAGGCCGGGCGGCGGCGGAAAGAAGGGCGGCGGCGCGGGCTCGGACCGGGACGCGAGGTGGGCGGAGCAGCTGCTGGGCCCGTGCGCCGTCGCCGTCGAGGCGCGCAACCTGTCGCGCGTGCAGCACCTCTTCTACGTGCTCGGCGAGCTCGCGGCCTTCTCCGGCGACGCCAACCACAGGCTGGCCGCGTACGGGCTGCGGGCGCTCTCGCTTCGCCTCCCCGCCGCGGTGGGCCCCGCGGCCGCCGCGGCGGTGAGGGTGCCGGCCGCCTGCGAGTCCCCGACGCCGTCGTTCGCCGGCGCGGAGCCACGGCTGTTCCGCGCGTCCCTCATCAAGTTCCACGAGGTCAGCCCGTGGTTCACGCTCCCCAACACGCTGGCGAACGCCGCCATCTCGCAGCTGGCCTCCGCGGCGCCCCGGCCGCTCCACCTCGTCGACATTGGCGTCTCGCACGGGGTGCAGTGGCCGACCTTGCTGGAGTCCCTCACCCGCATGGCCGCCGGACGAGCGCCGCCGTCCGTCCGGCTGACGGTCGTGGCCACCCCGCCCGTGCCCTTCTCGGCCTCCCCTCCGGGGTACGACTTCGCGCCGCATCTCCTCCGTTACGCCAAGTCCATTAAGCTGGACCTCGAGATCGGCCGCGCCAGTTCACTAGACCCCGCGCATGGCTTCTGCACCAGTCCCGACGAGGCGCTCGTGGTGTGCCTCCAGTTCAGGCTCGGCCATGTCACCGCCGAGGAGAGGACGGACATCATCCGCAGGGTCAGAGACCTCAAGCCGCACCTGGTGGTGCTATCAGAGCTCGACGTCGGGGGCAACGGCAGCGCGGCGGGCGAGTTCACGGCGAGGCTGGAGCTGCTGTGGCGGTTCCTGGAGTCCACGCACGCGGCGTTCAAGGGGAGGGACGGGGAGGACAGGCGGCTGCTGGAGGCCGAGGCGGGGACCGCCGTGGCGGTGGCCGCGGCCAGGGAGGCCATGGGGCGGGAGGGCTGGCGGGACCGCATGGCGGCGGCGGGGTTCGAGCAGGTGGCGTTCGGGGGCGAGGCGGTGGAGTCGGCCAGGTCGCTGCTGAGGAAGTACGACAACGGATGGGAG